GAAATGTTCCGAGTCCAAATGATAAACTATGTGGCCTCTTCGCACAAAGCAGTATACATAGTGAAACTGACTCAAGTACATTTAATGCAACCCGAGCCCTTTAGAGCAGTTCAGACGTATTACTTAAGACCTTACTGAACAGCATGAATGCCCTTAATTCATTTCTTCTGGAAGCAACTCTGCAATATTCCACATCTTAAGGTTATGATCTAAGATGGGATTGGTTATGGAAGGCAAGGGCCTAAATATTAAAAAGGCACCAGATTCCATCTGATCTTGGAAGCCAAGCAGAGCCAACCCTGATTAATACTTGGAAGGGAGATAGTCGATAAATACCAGGTACTGTAGGTTATATTTCAGAGGAAGGAACTAGCAAAATCACTCACGAGTATCCCTTTCATAAGAAATTCTATGAGCTCAGTCAACAGGTGATTTGAAGACACATACACAAACATGTTTGTGTTTAGAATGTTTAGAAAATGGCAAAGAAAATAGCTTCAGACAGGCTTAAATACCATACCTACTATTTGTTTGTTGGGTTGTTGTAGGTTTTTCAGGCTATATGGCTATAGGACCTCACAACCTCTGAGGATGCTTGCCATAGATGCAGGCAAAACGTGAGGAGAGAATGCTTCTAGAACATGGCCATATAGCCCAAAAAACCTACAACAACCCAGTGATTCTGGCCATGAAAGCCTTCGACAATATTTGTTTTTGTGTCAGGAGCGACTTGAGAAACTGCAAGTCGCTTCTGGTGTGAGAGAATTAGCTGTTTGCAAGGGCATTGCTGAGGGGACGCCCAGATGTTTTGATGTTTTATAATCCTTGTGGGAGGCTTCTCATGTCCGCACATGGGGAGCTGGAGCTGACAGAGGGAGCTCATCCATGCGCTCCCCAGATTTGAACCTCCAACCTGTCGGTGTTCAGTCCTGCCGGCACAAGGGGTTAACCCACTGCACTACCGGGGGCTCCTACTTCTACCTACTGCTCCTACCTATTATGATTCTGTAGAACAGATTGCAATTTCAATTTTTGTAGACCTTGATTTTGCATTAAAAAATTGACATTTTAAACATTGTCCAGAAAGGGCGTTGCGTCAATAAAGAAATAACTGTTTCATGAAGGAACTATTCCTAAATGTCATCGTACCCCTTTTCCAGACAGATGGGACATTTGAATTCTCCATATTATTGCAATTCACACAGAACTACAAAATTTTACAACATTGTGGCCGGAAGTCTTTGAGACTCATAGTTTTTGGTAACAGAGGTCCCATATATTAATTAAATGTCTATTGCCTACATTGCTTCCTCACCTCTCAAACAAAAAAGACTGGCAAGCTAATCAGAATATTTTACTCCATGTCAAAACACTTTTTCTTGCTTTGTGTATTTAGATATTGTGGTACAACCTTCATTCCACAGCTCATATAAACTCTACGGACATGAGATATCTTTATAGCCGCAATCCCCTGGAATCCTCATTAGGGGGTCATAAAAAGTCAAACTTAAAGCACTCAGTGAAAATGTTATGTCTGGATGAGAATTAAACATATTTTCTATTACTTCTGAAAGATAATCGATTTTCTTTAGCTACTTTTGTTCCCTGGCCTTAATTACCAGTACTTTGTGTGCCCCCTTAGAATAAAAATGTGGGTCTAGAACTACTAAAATTTGCATCACGTCTATGTAGGAAAGCAAACTGCAAAGCGAATGAATACAAGTCTAAATTATATTACATAATGCAATTATTTATTATATAAAATCAGGAGGGAGCCAACTGTACAAACAAAAGCTTTCATAAAGGGAGACCCCAGCTTGTCTACTTAGCACAGCATATGGCAGTGTGCACATTGTAGATTTAATTTCAGCTAAGAATCCCTTCAGCTGTTTTCATCCATCTCCCATGTAATCCTTCACTTTTTGCTAGCTCAATTGGTTTTGGCCTGAAAAATTATTCCTTTTGCATATTGCCTTCAAAAACTACCTGATTTAAAAAATCTAATTGTGTCCATGAAGAGAAATCAAACAATGTATTTTCCATGTTCTGAAGGAATCAGCAGGAAGAGAAAGAGAGAGAAAGCAAATTGCCAGATTGGAGAATCAACACACATGACCAACTTTTGTGAGAAAGAGCTTTGCTGGTAAAAGAACAGAGCAGTACAGAAGACAGCTGATTGCAGATGGGAAAAAAAGGATTACATAAAGGCACATGTAAAGATGTAATTGCTACTGTTTATATATTATGTAAACCAAAGTACTAGATTGGATGTTGCATCTTCCTACGCTTTGATTTGGAAATGTGGGTTTTCATTATGGATCTGAAGTATGCCATTCCAGTGGGCTTTTAAAGTCACATGTACGTTAAGTCTTTTCTGTAACTATTTATATTGCCAGAACTGCTGTCACGTGATTTCACCATCTGGTCCCAGTTTGTCTCAAGGCAACTTCTTGAAACTGACATTGCTATCTGAAACCAGGGCTTTCTCCCCATTTCTGCACAGTGCATTTCACATACAATGAATGTAACAGCATAACCTGGTATAATCACCCCGAACAAAATGCAACTTTGTTCAGACCCATCATTGTTTAAGGCAGCATGACTCTAACAATTTACGCTTCCTATGGCAGTCTTGATCTAGATTGATCAGACTGATGGGATTAGTGGAAAGGAATGGCTTGGTTGAGCCAAAGTACTACTTCCTATTGCTGTGATTCTGAGTTAAAACTGAAAATAACATGATCAGTCTACCCAGCACCATTTTCTGTTCAGAGAATCAAACTGCATCCAATATTTGTACCCCAAATGCATTGTGCTTTGTCAATGTTCTATGGTAGTGATTATCAACATGTGGGTCCCCATGTGTTTTGGCGTACAACTCCCAGAATTCCCAGCCAGTTTACTAGCTGTTAGGATTTCTGGGAGTTGAAGGCCAAAACATCTGGGGACCCATAGGCTGAGAACCACTGTTCTACTTCCTGGAGTATATAGGTCTGGTTGATTACATTTTGAAGAATAAAAACTACAAATGAATGCTAAGTTTGTTAAGGCATTTGTGAAGATGCAATGTTTCTTTTCTGTTTTCTATTTGTCTGAAAAGCCGTAAGTTTATGGATGTACTTGTTTCCACTGGACACACACACAATTGGGTTTTTGGACGAACTAATGTTCCATTTAAGCCTGTGGTTTCCAAACTTGCACTTAGAACATTTATAATGCAATCCTTTGCCCATTTACTCAGAAGTTTGGTCTATGTAATTTCAACAAGACCTAATCTCTAAATATGCAGAGAACTGGAACCTTAAGCACTTTAACCAAGTAGGTACTGCAATCCTATCTTAAGATACTACATTCTGATTTCTGGTTAATAGGGGTACCATTTAAATTGGCAAGCTTGGGGGGGAGGGGGAGTGTCAACAGTATTACATTCAGGAACAATCACATACTTTTTTAAATCTTAAGGTAATTGTGATTATGCAATGTTTTAAATTGTTCAGTTCAATGTCTTCCCACTGCCCAGCAGCTGCCAAACTCTGAGAGGGACACCTGTGCTATCATTTACCAGTTGGGGGGGGGGGGGTGCGGACCATAAACAGTGTCTGGTGCTAGTTGGCTGGGGAAAGAAATGTGAAGGTGCTCTCAAAAGGAGTGCACTCACTTTTTCCTCCCCCCAGGACACAGAGCTTCACACCCCAAAATTGCCATCACAATTCCTTGCCTTCCAAACAGCAGCAGGGACCACTTTCCAGACTTGGCAGCTGCTGAGCAGAGCTATTTTAAGATGGAGCACAAGGGTAAGAGAATAGTCCTCTGTGCCCCATCCAAAAGGGGACTTATGCACATGGAAGTTACTAACAGGATGCTCATCCCTGTGATTTAAGTGTTGCCTTAACATTCAGCAACTCATTCAATTTGTCTACTTCAGTTGAGTCTAGTTTGAACATCAACTGATTACTGAACATAATGCAAAACTGAATATCCTAAAACATCACAAGGCAGTTTTCAGCCCTTTAGATAATTTATAAGATATTATGCTATGTGTCAGTACTGTGGTTTTACTGGGGTGAAATATCACTTCTAGTTTAAACTCTGTATGTTCAGTGTAGAACATAATGCTGTGTAATGCCATGCAAGGGTTAAAGGCATGGAGTGATTTAATGCCTGAATGGAGTTGAAATAGAGTGTGTGTCACTAGAGTGAGAGAGCAGGACTACCTAAAGTAGTAAGAAACAAATAGAATACTAATTGATACATGAGAAGGTTATGTATAACACTGAGATTCTGCATTGTCAGACAGAGAATAAGCAACAGAAGAGGGCCTTCAGGGTCCCGCTGCTTGTTTCCATGCTCTCCACAACAAGGAAAATGTTGCACATATACTTTCCAATCACCCTGGTCTTCAGCATTTCAGAAGCCTTTCAGTTGGGATGTTCATAGGCTGAAAAGGCGGGGTTTGGGAGTTGTGCTGCCATTAATGACCATAGATATGAATCCCCAATACCTATCAGACTGTAAGTTCATCTTAATTTGTTTAATAACAATCTATTAACTACTGAACTGAATCAAGTTTTAATTCAGAGAGCAACCAAGAAACAGCTCAAATGGATGTAGCAATTCTTGCTTGCGAACAAAACATCACTTTCATGAATAGGAGTAAACACATCCTGTTGCGTTTTTTCTTCACTCTGGTATTTATCTTTGCAAATTTCTGGTCTTTTGTTCAAGCACCCTCTTGCCAACACTACCAATGTTCATTGAGAGGCTTTGCGATCCAAAACATTCAACGAATTATTCTCCTATTCACCTAGTGGTAAATGAGGCTTATGCATAAAGTAAGTATGCCAGAGTTGGAAGTGTGCTACTCGATTACGCTGCTGCTGCTAAACTATACTACAATGTCTTTATGGGAAGGGTCTTTTGCTTGTAAGTCCACTTGTTTAACAGAAATTTTAAAAGACTACTTGACTAAATAATGATAGTCAACGACAGTAAAAGTGTACTTACTTTAAAAAAAAGTTTATTTGTACATGTTAAGCAGAAAGCACAAGTCAAATAAAGATGGTTAAATTCTAAAAGCTTTCAAGATAACATACACTTATTGTAGAGTTCACATATACATATTTCTGCACACACACAAAATCCACTTATTTGGTGGAAAAAGCAACAGGCTTTTAAATAAGGAGCAGTGTGCCCCTTACAAGGCACCGACATGCCACAATTGGTCAAATATCCCGCACTTGTTACCCAACTCCTTTGCCCATTCCTTCTCCTTTCTGCCAGAGAGGGACAGCTATAGGAATTCAAGGCACTCATTCCAGTGCTACCAGCCCAGAGAACATTCTGGAAAAGAACAATGCAGATCTCCAGGACTGTTCCTGGGCAGTCAGTGTGCATCCCTAACCAAAGATGTGAAGTGAGCTAATCTGAAATCTTATGTGTTCCAGTTTGAGATGAATCTGTATTACCTTGTTATACCGAGACATTAGAATATGAAAGCTACCTTAAGAGATGCCAAAATGTATGGGCATTGGTTCAGAGGTTTTTTAAAACCTCTGTATATTAGTGTTAGCTTAGTCCTTCTCTGGAGGAATGGTGTGACATACCATCACAAAAACAACCACCACTCCAACAGATTTTAGCAAAGATTCACAGTATAACAATTTTCCCTTATAAGAACAGGGATCCTCCATTAACTGGCAGCAGGTTATGGTGCATTAAGAGAATTCAGTAAAATAGCTTAGTTTAAAATGGGGACCCACAGTTAATACTGCTTGTTCTTGAAGAATGGGATGGTTCGCACTGAAACTCAAAGCTTCCCTCATAATACCGTCTAGATTAAAAAGCTTGATATTGCACTGTTATATTATACTCCAGCTGTCAATTCGCATTCCAAAGACTTATGAAACTGTAAATAAAGTAAACTTAGCCATTTTGTGCCGTCTTCAGCACTGCATCCGAGTAGTTGGAATTTGCAAAACCTTCATTACAACTACAGTAGCCTAAGCACAGTGGAATTTCTGCCCAGCTGCCTTCCTTATACAGTACAGAAACTGATTGTCCTGTCTTCAATCTTCACACTTTGAGTTTCTTCTTCTGGTCGAAGTAGGCATCAAATCGTGCGAGTGCATAGTCCTAAGTGAGAAAAGTACTACACTTCAGCATACTGAGTTACCTTGCAAACTTCTCAAATTTCAATACATTTTTCACACAAACCTACTTTGCACAGAACAGTGTGAGAAAAGGTTACGCCAAGTCAAAACTCTTCTTCCTCAGGAACTTTTTGTTTTACAAATAAAATGAAGTAATGTCAACTTCAGCCGTTTTCTGTATGTCAAATCTTACCCAATAGCAACTACTCCAATTGGATTGTGAGGAATAAGAAAATTTACGTTCCTATGTTACTGTAAGCCTGGTGTATTACTCAGCTTTAAAAAACACACACACACACAGATGGAAGTTGTTCCTCTGGAAAGCATTCTCAAGTAGAAATACCTAGAAATTGCACTGAGCTTTGAATATTTGGTGGGAAATTGGCCACAAATACAAATTACATCTAGCCTCTTGATTGTTTTAGCTCTATCTGCTGGATATGTAGCTTTGTCTGCTGATGAAATGCAGATCCTGAGGTCCTTCCCAAAACTGAAACTGGGCTAAAATTGTTCCCTATTAAGACATTCTGGGTCCAGTAAAATACATGATCCAGTTGTACTTGCTCCAAATATTAACTGTGGCTGAGGTCAAACTGAATGCTGACTAAAACCCTGACACTGAAAAAGAAAAATAATGGAAATTGAATCAGATGAGTTTCTCTTACAGGGATTCAGTAATAATTGCTGGGCTTATTTAAAGATAGCATTTTTGAAGACATACCATGTATCCAAACTCAATTGAGGATATCTTTGCTTGTATAATGGACCACAGACCCCAGAAGAAATGTGATGCAAGGGCAAACCTGTCAACAACAAAAAAATTTTTTACAAATTTCTACATGTTTCAATTTCAAATTCTCTTTTGCCTCTTTACTAGAATGGCTAAGACTAGACAAGATTCCCTCCCACCCCACTTCTACACTCAAGAATCTCTTAGTTGTTGTTGCTATGGCAAAAAGGGGCATTTCCCCTTTAAATTTGCTATACTGCTTAAATTTAGAGCTACTCCACCCAAAATAGTAATTTCTGCTTCAGAACAAGGCACACAGTGAACATAAATCTCAAGTTAGACTTTTCTAAGATTTTATGTACCATTATATACCCTAACCAAAAATGATAATTCAGCATTTTACACTGTATGTGGAGCTAAATTTGATATTTTCAAAATAAAGACAAATATTACCTATTTACTTCAGTTAGCATTTCTTCTTCTATTTTTGACTTATCTTCACTGCTCAGATTTTCAAACCCACTTTGAGATGCAGCTAGATAACTGGAGATGAAATGGAGCTAAAAGAGACAGAGAATTCATAACTTAGCTTTGGTGCCAGTATGAAATCAGTACCTGTGTACCTCAGTTAACAAAGCCTGAAAAAGGAGCTCCTTTTTACATAGCTGTTTCACACCCATACAGCCTCTTCCCCCTTTTCCTCCTTGTACTCTGTCTTGCTGGGATTTTCTTAGTGGCAGAGGAGGAATGGTAAAAGACGGCTAAAAAGACAGTTTGGTGCAGCTTGAGTTGAGAAAAATACAATTCTAGTGCAACCAACTCTATTGTTGTGCTTGTATCTACCTACAACACGCAAGGTAAGCACCAGCTGCCTCCATTTTTTTTTTTATTGAATATACAGGGGCAGCAGAACAGAAAAGGAGAAACCAGATGAGCCTCCCTCACAGGCTACTACCTGCATTATTTAAAAAGCATGGATTATAGACTAAAATGGAATTCACAGGTAGAGGCTAAGGAAAGAAAAAGCCCAGCCTCAATATTTTGGAAGAAATGTTCAATAAAAAAACATATAGAAGTGTTACCTCACCTGGTGGTTTCACACATGTATATTGTTAAATCTAAATGAAAAGCTTTCTGAAACATGTTGCCACTCTTTTTTTGTGGTATAAGAAATTATCCCTGTTCTTTCTACCTCTGATGCCAAACTCTCCATAAAAGTAGTAATGCCCAGGAACACATCTGCTTCATTAACTGGGGTATACTGTACAGTGGTTTCATATGTTAAAGAAAAAAATGCAGTGTTAAAATCTTCAATCACAATATTCATTCTCAGATTAATATTGGCCCTAACAGAATTTTGCACTTTGGTTTCACTTTGAGAAAATCTTGTGAAGAGTCCCTAAGCTACATAATATTAGTAAGTGGTTGTTGTTGTTATCTGCTATCAAGTCAATTTCCACTCCACTCTTGCCATCAACAGCACTATTCAGGTCTCACAAACTCAGAGCTATGGCCTTCTTGATTTAAGTCTCTATCTACCTGTAATGGGGTTTTCCTTTCTCCTACTGCCTTCTACCTTGCCAAGTGTTCAGGTACATAATTATGCATACATAATTTGAACAAAAGTATTGAGGTAAACAAAAGGTGTCCCATGCAATTTAATTAAAGTGCTCTCAAAATTTCTGTGTTATGAAGCAAGATTTAGAAAGCATTTCAGGGACACCACATTTCAGTACTCCTCTGCAGTTAGTTATATAAAGTGCTGGTACTGAAATTGCAAACTGTAGAGTAGCCTTAATCTACATAAGAAAGCACCCATGGTTAAGGTATGAAGTTAAGACTGAAGATACAGAAAGCTCTGAAAAAACAACTATTCTAGGAATAAAAGATTGAAAGCTTGAACTTAAAATTTAAAACCAAAAATCAAGCTCACCTGTTGTTTCCTGGATGGATACTTCAAGGAGTTTGCTTTAAAAAATGGGTATTTTTCATAGACATAGTCATACATCCATTCACAGAAGTGATTTCCAATATCAAACCCCCTGAAGGAAGAAGAATAGAAATGTAGGGGATACTTTTAAGGTTACAAAGTCTGATTTCTTGTTTCAAGCTGCTATTTCATGACCCCTTACTAATTTCCAGTAGCAAGTAGCAGATACATGGATAATGCTAGTTAGTAAGAAGTGTTATGCTACCAACATGAAGCTCTGCATAGAATTAAGAAAAAACAGTGTTAAGCTTAAGTTACAGAATTTTGCTTAGGAGCTTACACAAAGAAAATACAAGCTCTATTACAGATACATATCAAAGTCCCCAATGTAAGATTTTATCTGACATTTTTAGTTGCAGGTGAAGGATTTTGAAAATGGCATATTGCACAGTGTTTGTAAGTGCAGGCAGCCCCCCCAAATTACAAAGAAAATAGGGTCTATAGGTTTGTTCTTAAGTTGAATTTGCATGTAAGTCAGAACAGTTACATTTTTAAAGTGTAACTCCAGCCAAATATATGCCAGTATATATATGTGTGTGTGTATATACACACTTTGAATAGCATAGGGAAGGGTTAACACTCCTGTGGTATTTGTTTTGCTGTCTGTGCTCCTGTTCAGAAGTTGTCTGTCCTTGCAATAATTGGATTTTGGAAAATATGGCTTGTTGTGGAAACAAGGATTGGTGAGAAAGCTTCGGTTGAGACACTTTTTCCCCATTATAACAGTCTTACAAGGGTGAATTACACGCAGATTACATGCAGATATTGAGTTGGTCCACTCTTTTACCAGACATGGGCAAACACAAACAACTCAAAAAAGGCAAAAACAAATGTAAGTAACAGATGCAATTAAGAAAAATTAAATGTTTGCTAATCTCGCGTTTCTCCCGATTTAAAGCCAGCAGAAAGGCTGAGCATTTACCTGTAATTGTAGCTGCTGTATTCAAAATCAATAAGCATCAGCTTTTGCTTCTCTGAGTCTTCTCTGCCTTCGAGAAGCAAAATATTTCCTGGTAGAAGGAAGAAAGTAAGAGACAGCAATAAGCACTCCCAAATGCCTCAAATTACTTCATCGGTGACATTTCAGTAAGTATGTATTAGGTCACGACACGAATTTGAGTCCTAAATATTACTATGGACTCCAAAGTATCAATTATCAGAAAAGCATCCACCATGACAATAGATGGGTTGCATGAAGGGAGGATTTGTTTACCATAAAGACTCCAGGGAAAGCAACAATGACGTGATGATGCCTTTGATTAAAGTTTGAGCAGGGTTACAAGAATTTTTCTGACAAAATCCAAATTATTATGCTCCTTATCCTGTTATACAACATGAATGAAGACATGGTTTGTTGCAACCCTGTATACTGCAGCATTAAGGTCCTCCCCATTCTTCTTCGAGGGGCCTACTATAAATTACAAACAGCAGTCTACTTTAAACTAGAAACATCCTCAGTTTTAAATGGAAGTTTGCATCAAATCAATGGTTATACTTTGTAAGACACTAAAATGGAAACACACGTTGTCATACCTTCTTGACAGTCATTATGGCAAAACACAACTGGAGAGGAAGTAGCTTCCAGTAATGACCTGGAAAAGAAAAGGATTGAACCAAATAGCAATTTCATCAGCCTTCACTCTTCAAAGCAGAACCCAGCAATAAAAAGGGTTTCACTGAAAGTGTAAAGCAAACACCATCTGTTACTTCTGCTTCCATTAAATTAACTTGTAGTGGATCAAATTGGTCACTGCAACAAGCCACTCAAATAAAAATGCTTCAAACTTCAAGTTTACTGTTGCTGTCCTTTCCTTTGACAGCCTCCATTTGAAGGAAAAGGTAAACCAGAGACTATAATCCGAATCTTACTAATATTTCCAACACCTGAGTAAACCTGTTTAATCCGTAGTTTGATGGATTCCATGGATGCAGAAACTATGGATATAGAGAGCCTGTTATATTGTTTTCAAAATTATTGAATTAAATGCCAAAGCATTCTTGAGGAAGAATTGTTCCGTTTTTATATTTGTCTCTTCATAGACAAGTGGGTTGAGAGTTCTGTAATCACTATAGTGTGGGGATGAATTAAAACCAGGTGCTTCAATGGAGTCAAATGGGCAAGAAGCTTTACAGTAGGAGCAGGCAAACACAAATCCCCAAAGGCTGTTTTTCTGCTTGCAATCCCTCCAAACTTATTTTTCTGGCCAAAACCCAGTGGCTACCTTCTCTTGCAAGTTGCCAAAAGCTTTTAAATGGGTTGCAAAACTGTTTAACATCAAAACATACTATTTTTTTCTGAAAATAAATGTGATTTCTGCAAAAATCCAAGTTTACATTGTGGCAATCTGGGTGTTCTGTATGGTCTGTGAACAGTCCTGGGGCAGAAAATAGATTCCCAAAGTCACACAGTAACCCATCTCTGCTCTATACATAATATGCTGAAAAACCAATCTGAAATAGCCTGAGTAATTAATCACACTAAATTCTCAAAGGGATCGGAGTTCTTATGGAATCTCTGCATGTTGCTTAGTACTATAATTTTCCAACTAAACAGTGAGAAATTAGTTGTTGATCATCTCCAATTCAAGCACATCCTTGGATGTCCATAGGTACCTTTATCTAAATATACTATTATTAATAAGAGTCAATATTAAGATACACATGAAGAAAATCCATATAGGATTCTTACTTACAGATTTATATTTTAAAATATCTATCATTCATCACATAATAACATTTTAAATGAAAAGTCAGGTAAATTGTCAAGAGCTAAAACCTTACCGTAGTGTTTTCAATTCTTGAGGCAGATTGTAACTGAGAATCTTGTTCAGTTTTCTAACACGGGACTCCCTGGTAAACTTGATTCTCATCACTTGATTTAAGTACCTGAATAAAGAAATTTAATGCAGTTAAAAATCCTAAGCCAGTGTCAAAATGCATCCCTCTTTACAACCACCCCAAAATATACTGAAGAAAAAAAATCAGTTTACTTACTTCTCCATAGTTCCAAAGAGCCACTTCGGTTCTTTATTAAATGGCATTTTCATCCCATGAAATCTTGCCATTTTCTCAGCTATTTCCGCTGATATATCAGGCAGACTTAGTTCTTCAGTATCTAGTTTCCTACTCTGAAAAGCATATAACACAGTGGAAATTAATCATAAGATTTTACAGTATTACACGAAAATTCTAACTATCAGATTCTTGTGACTGAAGTAATGTACTGACTTTGTTTCAATGCTATAATTTACTACCTTAAAGGTGAGATCTTCCTCTACTGGGCACTATATAACTGCACCAATGGTTCATTCTATTAACTCCAATTGAGGAACAGTGCTTGGGATGGGGAACATTTTTAACCCACAAAATCCCAGATACTTGTACTACTCCTTCAAACTGAAACAGAAAATGTGTTTCATTTTCAGCCAATTCAGGCTTTGGGGAGATCAAAGCAATGAAGTCATGTTACTGTTATTTTAAACAGTTTGGGTAGTAGGTAAATAACTTTTGAATTTTTAAAAGAAATCTTTGGGGCTATTGGAGTTTGCAAGATGTCCTGGAAGGAGTCAAAGGTTGTGGCTGCATGCAGCTCACATGTTGTACTTTCTGAATATCTGAATTAGAATTAGTACTGTGAAAATTTAAAATCCTGAAAATTAATAAACACCATATAATCAAATCAAACTATAAAATGAAGTTACATAATGCTATTGCTACACATTGGCAAATACTTTATTTGAACATCTGTATTTTTAATAATCTGCACAGAGAGCAGTTACAACTACCATTGCCACACTAATAACTGGCACTCACAGGAATGAATTCCTCCAGACGACCTTGTGGAAAGATTCCATAAAGCTTTGGTCCAAGAGCTCTTTCAGCAAGAATGGCAAACATAACACTCTCCAGAACTACAGCTTCTGCCCCCTAAAGAGAACAATAAACATGAGACTGGGACACATATAATCTTTAATATATAGAACATAATATGTTTTACATTTCTGAATAAATATAATCATGTTGCCAGAATCAGTTACATAATAATATGCTATTAAACTACCAGGACACTGTAGCGTACTGTCTTCTTGAAAGATTGCTCATTATCTTATTGAAGATGGTGTTCAACAGACAAGATTATTACGATCCAGTGGCAGTTTCTATTATATAACTGCACTAATTTCCTTGGGAATTATGAAATCATGAAAACCCCTTTTGTGGGCTATTCAGTCTTTACATTTGAATCAGTGACTAACATGACTGAACAGGTGCTCCGTACTGTAAGTTGATCAACATGAGAAAAAAAATGACTGTTTAGAATACAACTCTAGGTATCTGAACTTATAGAAGAACTCACAGTTTACCCCACTGTGGGACTATATGCAATATCACTGACAACACGCTGCAGCAAACAGAGCAAAGGGAAGTAAGGCTAGCATCAAGACTACATTCTTCATCATTTGTCAACTAGCAGCTGCAATTACATTGTGCTTATAAGCATAGGAGAAAATGAAAGAGGGACACAACATCAATGTAATTTGTAATTACTTATTACTGATTCAAATGGGTTGGAGAACACGCTTTAGGCAATCCAAGATTAACTGTGTTAATCTTTAACTTCAGTGTTATCAGCCTCATTTAAATGGAGATTTCAAGATTATTCCTTCTGTTTTTCTTTGGCATCTACAACCAATTTCTATTGGCTCCCACAATTCTCCCTTGCTGCATGAATGCCAAAGCAGGCCCTGATCTGACTGCAAAGCCTCCCCACTACCGCTTTGATGGTGCTTTTCCTGCAAAGTAGGAGGAGGTTGGACTGGGTGGCCCCTGGAGTTGCTATTATTATTATTATTATTATTTAAACAAAAGCACAGTATGTCATAGCAAATGAGATCTATATGCTGGATTTCGTATCACAAAATCACAAGTCGAAAACTTCCCAAGCGTCTATGACTGTGTGATGTATTTTCGAATGATGCGTGCAGATCCAAGTAAGGTGGCCTTTTGCAGTTGACAGATCATGATTTTATCGATGTTTATTGTTTCCAAATGCCAGCTGAGATCTTTTGACACGGCACCCAGTGCGCCAATGACCACTGGGACCACCTGTACTGGTTTATGCCAGAGCCTTTGCAGTTCGATTTTGAGGTCTTGATAGCGGCTGAGATTTTCCTCAATGCGACTGTCACCAAGTACACCAGCCCCAAGTAAGGAGCCCCTCCATCCATCTATCCGCCCCCTAAACTAATTATTATTATTATTATTGCTGCAAAGGCTGGGTGGCCATCTGTTGGGGGTGCTTTTACTGTGCTTTTCGTGCAAGGCAGAAACAGGCTGGACCGGGTAGTTCCTGGGGTTGCTCCTATTATTATTATTATTATTATTATTATTATTATTGTTATTATTATTATTGCAAAGGCTTGATGGCCCAGGGGTCTTCCATTGAAATACTGTTAAGTTTATGTTGGTTAAAATTGTTTTTTTTTATTTTAAATATTGTTCTTTCTTTCTCTCACACTACAAACAAGATGTGTGCATAGGAATTTGTTCACCCCCCCCCCCCCCCCATTCGTTCCAACAAACACTCTCCATCTGCCTCTGGCACAGCCCATCTGTCAAATTTTAAAATGCTATATGGCCCCTATGTCCAAAACTTTCTTGGGGTTCCATGAGAAATTTTTCCTTTAAAAAAGACTCAGCGGCTTTAAAGGTTTGGGAATCCCTGGTCTACAAAGGTGGCTTTTCAAATGCAACCATTGCCCTACATGATGGGTTAAGAATCACCTCAAATTGGAACACCACTGATCTGTACTCATACCTAAGGGTTTCTAGCTTCCCTCTGAACATCCCACAAAGCAACACTCTACAAAAGAAAAACCCCACATAGGCTCACTTCTAACAAAGAATCACGACTTAATGAGCTACATTCAATGAAACTTAACACATTATTGAAATTCCCCAATGATTTCAACAGGCATAATTAGCTATAGTCTGGGCAGCTATATTACAATCTGTACTTCTGTCCTACAGACTTTTTGCGCTATGATTGTCCTTGCTCACAGAACCATAACCTCCAAATTACTTATGTACAACCCACATAAAAAAGAAACAAGGGATCAGACCTTGCAGCAAACTTGGATGTTAAACTCATTACAAGAATTAACCCCAGCCACAACTTCACTTCACTTCACTTTATTTCTTAATTAGTCGCTCTCCACCAAGGTAAATCTAAAATAGCATTAACATAATATAAAAACATTCAACATAAAAACATTCAACAGTGACTATTTGGCAAATTAGATCTGATTACTTAAATGCACAACCAAACAGCCAAGTCTTGAGTGCCTTTACAAAAGGTCGCAACTCCGACATTGCTTTAATGTATGGAGGCAATGAGTTCCACAGAATTGGAACATAGGTCAAAAAAGCTCTACGCCTTGTAGCTTCCAGGTGTACCTCCCTAGGGCCCGGTATGTATAGGAGATTTTCCTGGGTGGATCGAGGTGACCACTGATGGAGAAAAGGAATGAGGCGGTCCCTAAGATATACAGGTCCTTTGCCATTTTGAGCTCTAAATGTCAGGATCAGTATCTTGTAAGAGATCCGATGTTCTATTGGTAGCCAATGCAGTTGTTGCAGAATCGGTGTAATATGGGATCTTATAGATGATCCCGCTAGCAGCCTGGCCGCTGCATTTTGGACCATCCGAACCTTCTGGGTTGTTGACTTTGGAAGGCCGGCATATAAGGCGTTGCAATAGTCCAACCTCGTGGTAACTGTTGCATGGATTACTGTTGCCAATGCTTCTACCGAAAGGTAGGATGCCAATTTCCTTGCCTGGCGAAGATGAAAAAAGGCCTGCTTACTTATGGCAGTGATCTGGGCCTCCATCGTCAGCGATGAGTCCAACACAACCCCAAGGCTTTTAACAGTGGCAGACACAACCAGAGCTCCCCATCGAAATCAGGCAGAGACTGGATTAATTCTGGCGGCTGGCTGGGCCAGAGTATCTCAGTTTTTGCAGGATTCACTTTTAGTCTGCTCGCTCGCAGCCAACTCATCACTGCCTCCAAACACAGCCTAAAGTTCTCAGGAATCGCGGTTGTCCCAGGTTCGAGAAGCAAGAGTAACTGGGTATCATCTGCATACTGGTAGCTCTCTATGCCAAAGCTCCGCACCAGTCCAGCAAGTGGCCGGAAGTAGATGTTAAATAACAGGGGCGAGAGGATAGCACCCTGGGGAACTCCATAGCAAAGGCAGAAACTCTCAGAGCTTTGGCCTAACCAGTCCACCCTCTGTCTCCGGTCCCGGAGGAATGAATTGAACCATTTCAGGGCTAAACCTCGTACACCAGACATAGCCAATCGATGAATCAGCAAGTCATGATCCACGGTGTCGAATGCAGCTGTGAGGTCCAAGAGTACCAATAGCGCTGATCCGCCTCGGTCTAACTGACGACGAATTTCGTCAGTAATAGCTACCAAGACAGTCTCTGTCCCATGACCTGAACGAAAGCCTGATTGAAAGGGGTCCAAACCCGCAGTCTCATCTAAGAATTGCTGTAGCTGCCCCGCCACTGTCCGTTCAATCACCTTGCCCAAAAATGGAAGGTTTGAAACTGGGTGATAGTTACTAGGTATGGCGGCGTCTAGGCTTGGTTTTTTCAAGAGAGGGTGGACCACTGCTTCTTTAAGGCAATCTGGAAAAATTCCTTGCTCCAAGGAACTGTTGATGAACTTCAAGGATTTATTCACCTGCAAGAAATATCCTTCTGCACTCCAGATGGAAAAGTATGCATGGTCTAAGAAGCTGGTGGAAATGAGTTAGGTTTAATCTGATACCTCTTCTGATTTGAAGAAATGCTTATCGCTTTGAAGTTAATAAGAAACAGGCTTGGGAACATATTAACCAAGAGAAATTTTCCCAGGAGTGAATTAGACAGAACCAAACTGCTCAATTACCTTGTTGGTATAATAGGTATTGCGGCAATCTGACTTCAAGCATTTTTTAGTATTGTGATTAGCTATAAAGATATCACCAGTACATATATTGTGTGCCTGATGAAGAATATTTAAAACAATAATACTTACTTGTAAATCATTTTCCTTTTGAGCCTGTCCAGATCCTCCTTTATTACAGGACCTCTATGAATGAGAAAAATCAACATTTACAATGAGAAGTTGAAGACCAACATCACCATCTTGCAGCCACCGCAATAAGGAGAGTTAGAAAAACCAACTGGACATAGAACTCTTTACTGAACATTGATCTGAAAGTGCCAGACATCTCAACACAGCTCCTTTCTCATTCGAAGAAAAACTTAATTCCAGATGTTTTAAAAAGTATGTGCCACTGAAACAATATTCTTGCCTATAATGACAGAGCTGAGAAGATCTCAAGCTTGAGATGGCCTTACCTGCACAGCTGCAGCCTGTAGGAACTAAACATTTATTGAACACAGAAGCATTCAGATTTGAGACACAAAAATGAAGTTTTAGTATAAACCAGCTTTTCTATAGAGGTATAAAGTCAGCAAGACACCAACATAGTGGAAGCATGTAATATATAAAAACTGGTTTAATAATATTGTATCCAATCTTAAAATAAAAAGATCTGCCTTCTGTAACAGCAATATTGTAAAACTTAAATCACTTCTCAAAGCAACATAAACAAAACAACACATAATCAGTTCCATATTTAGTGGACTGTAGTGTGCTTTTTAATATTCACCACAAAGCATTTTCAAAGGTTCCAAGTTCTGCTTTAAATACTGAACTCAATGGCACATACTTTTACTATATTTGCATCTACAAAGTGCAGCAAAGATAGAAGCTTTGTAGTCCATTAAGGATTTCAAAGCTATGCAACAAATGAGCCTTCCAGTTTTATTCAGTGACAATATATTAAGGCTACTAATGCTGTACTTCTGTAACAACACCCTGCTCAAAACCAAACTATATTGAGAGGCCCCTAAAGGAAGCCTTTGGTTAAAACTACTAACACTAAAGATAATGGAAGCAAGAATAATGTTTTGCTTTGACATTCTGATACAAAGACCAACTGAACAAATAACAAGTTTAAGTACTACCCAAAATACAGAATTTCTCTCAACTTACTTGTTTCAGCTTGAAATAACCAATTTTCCACATTATAGTAGCAATTCTTTCCATTGAAATTTACAAAAATATGTAAATACTGCAAAATTACATTTCAACGAAAGCATAAATGTTCTTGAATATTCACAGACATGTTTACAACTACATATTAGTGATGCTACACAAAAACATTATTTATCACTGCCGCTATTCTCTCTCGTTGACTATTCCTTGAACACAAGATGCACATCATTCAGAATAATTTTTTTCATGCTCCCATATGATGGTATAATCTATCAGAAGCAAATTGGATTAGAGAGGTTTTACCCAGGTCCTTAACGGGAACTACTTTACATTATTAGGAACACATAAGTACTGAAAACTGACCAATATTTTTGTGCTAATTTTTAATTAGGTGCCTAAAACTTTACTGCACCAATTGGATTTTCTTACAAGAGAAAAATGAGGGAAACTATCTAAATATTTTCACAAAAGGGAAATTGTATATGGTTATGTCTCTCTTTTTGTCCCAATTAACTTGGAGAAGGGATGTTGCATGAATGTCACTGTTTCTAAACAATTGTATTTGAGATTCAACAATGTCAAAGTAATCTTTAAGCTACTTTTATTTAGTCTTATGCACTGTATAACCAAGAAAGTGTAGGCAATTCATCAAGAGCACAAAGGTAGCTTTAAATGTTAATGCTTATACTAGTAAAGACATATTGCTGAAAGTTTGCTTCAAGAATTTCTGAAGCAAAACTCACTAGAACAATATGCTCACATTTCAGATACCTGCTTAGGTAGCAAGCCACTCGCTGACTTTTTAAAACAGGACTATTATTGTGCAGAGTGTGGCCAACTTCCAAGGCGATTACAGAAGAAGTATTGTATAGTTCTTATTAAGAACAAAAGTAATAGGGAACCGTGTTGCAGGGAAAGCTGTTGTAACTGTTTGATACACCAAAGCAAGAAGCTAGAAACAAGCAAGTATTTATTTAACAGATCTGCAAGTTTGTAAAAGTCAAGTTGTCAGACCTCTTATTGCATGTTATTAAGAGAGCCACATGCAGGGAGCTGGTCTCCAAAAATGTGGAAATAAATAATAAAACTGTGGTTATGTAGGAGATACTGAAGCGGGAAATAGCACTGTTGCTATTATAGGACAAAATAATTTGATAGCATAATTAGACTTTATAAAAATGAAAATTAGGTGCAGGGGTAATTCAGCAGCCAAACTACCTACTATTATATTATTAATTACCACATGTTACTGAACTTCAAGCTGAGTAATTATGTTTACTTTACCATTAATGAAGAGAAACTAGAAGACAAAAATATAATTCAGTGATGATACAAATGAGATGAGTACACAACATTGTCAAATTATAAAGATGGTTATTTTGCACTAGGGTTTCATATATCAACAATTTCCATCCCTTTTTTAATATCAATGGATAAGAAAAGAAGTGTAACCTTATGTGGATCCTGAAATCTAGGCCATCAATGCTGTACTTCCATTATTTGTATATTAAGACCAAAGGATAGACTTTAATAGTAAACTAGCAGAAATATAGTAATTTTCAGATCGGGAAAGTCAATTGGAATTTGTCCACATTGCCCCACAAAAATTCTGACATGGCTGGCACACATCTAACCTTTATAAATACATAAATCTTTCCTCTGGCAATGTCTTATCTATGTTTATATTCTACTCCTAAAGCATGTTTACAGATGTTGTTTTTGTATAGGAATCGACTGGTAATTCTGAATATCACATCAGGTTAAAGGACATGCAGTCATGATGGCCACATGACCATGGAGGTGTCTACGAAAAATGCCGGCTCTTCGGCTTAGAAAAGGAGATGAGCACCACCCCCCAGAGTCGGACGCAACTAGGCTTAATATCAGGGGAAACCTTTACCTTTAAGGGACAATAAGTAGTTTTATATGTCATATAAAATACAACAATACCCTTAATCCCTTTTACTTCTGATTAAATTACCATTCTTTAAAAGGAGCAACTGGAAAAAACTGTGTTTAATGCACTCTTCTGGCATTCATTTAACTCTCATTTTAGACAGTTTAGATATTTTTAAAAATTACAAAGGCAAATATTATCATAACGGCACACTCGGAACCACAAAAAAATTAAACCCAGAGAGAATGCTCCAACTTCAGAGATCTCATACTATACCGTGAATCGTGTCTGTCACCTGGAAACCAGAGTGCTCTAGGCACGATCGCATGGACAAGCCTGCAGCAGAGAACACATGCACATACAACTAAAATGGTACATTACCCTCAGATGACCCTTAATGCCACCCAACAAAACAAAGTGTCCCCTTAACAGGATTTCTGCTATCAGGCTATCTGCCAATAAAAGGCATTTGCAGTTATTCATTGCTAAAAGACTTTAAGAGCAAGAATCATATCAGTAATGGAGAACTACAATTAAATGATTCCATGCATTTTTTTTCAGTTACAATCATCACCATAGAACTGCTGTCAATACTCCTGATCTCATTCTCTATACAAATGAAATGGCAGAGTAGAAAAGAACATAAAGTAATCATAAATGCTTAATACTTTATGCAAAATTTTGTTTATCTGTTAGTAAGAACAGATTAAATGTTTCAGTATCAGAAATAGGGCATGAGAGGTTATTCCCAGAGCTCTATTATTTGGACAATAGTGGTCTTCTGCTACAATTCAGCATTACTTTATATAGTGAATGCATCATCCTGCAATTCTTAGATTAAGTGCACAACAGAAGTTCTACAACATTTCAAACCAAAATACAAACTGTTTAAATGGAGAATTGTTTTTAGGATTAAGATACTAAATAGTATGTGGGTTTTTCCCCCACAAGTCTTTTCAAGATAAGCAGAGAGGCCAACATCCACTCTAGCGAATCTCTATGCAAAACAGGACTGCCTTGCTGCTACAGACACACATGCTTTCAGTTTTTCAGAGTTAAAGAAAGTACAGCATGGCATTTGGTTTTCAAGTTCCCTGGTATTTAGTTTGAACCTTAGTCATTTCAAAAGGACATAGATGTCCCTTTTTAAAAACTCAGCTCTCACCATGCCTTCATATCATACATTCAGACAGTGGCTTAAAATAAAAGCCATTATAACTAGGTCCCCAAGCCCTTTCTTCATAGTAGCTTAAGCCAACTTAAACAATTTACATTTAACAATATAGACTGACATTTGTGTCTTCCAGAAATTTTGAAAAAAGCAAACTGTAGTCATATTAACTGTGCAATGTCTTTTAAAAGTGGCTTCAGTTGACATATGTAGGATTGGTAAGTATTTTCCAATCATCATTTTAAAATGTTGACTTAATGAACTCAAAAGATTATTTTTTTTCTTGGGACTAAATTTTAACTTGATAATGACAAAAATAGCTTTTTTCACATGTGTTCTAACTGAAGTATTACTTTAATAATGGTAATTAAGGATTATGTGTAATGTAAGAAAAAATAATCGACATGTGAACCTGTCTTTAAAATGAGCATCTCTGAGCTTTTAAAATGTTAACAGCACTAAAAAAAACCCTTTCTATATTATTCTTAGGTATATAACAATGAGGAAGTTCTCCAAGATCTCAAAAGATGAAAAATACAGCAAGATCAGCTTGCTTATGTATCAAAGACTGATCTGGAAGAGACAAATGTTTATACTAAGACCCTCAATATAATCTGAAAGTTTTACCTTAGAACTGTCTCTGCTTACTTAACCCTTAGTGAACTGCACCAAGAGCAGTCAATTCACTGCCACTATGGAAATAAAGGAAGTTAGATATCTCAGAAGATCTTTAATACGAAGGGAGAAAACAGTTAAGTTGTTAACACTCAAATGACTGGCCAAACTAGACCTTGAAGAAAAATGCACATCTGTTGTGTTATTTTCTTCAGAAAAAGAATGATTAAAAATATGGGATATTCATGAAAGTAGGATCAGTATCCCAATTTATGATTCTCCAATCCTGGATATTTATAGCACCATGATTACAAGTTCACCAGAAATTCTAGAGGAATTAATGCCAAAAAATTTAAAATACCACTCCCCTCCCCCCCGATACATGATAGCAAATTCTTGCAGTGCATTGATTCCATCGTTTCTTCACACTGGCTTAAAGTTTATTTTTTAGTGTGTAATCAAGCCACATGCTAAACAGTTAATAAAATCACTGGTGTAGCTTAGCAATGGATTAATTAAATATTCATTGTTGCCTTCACTACTGTGTATACTCAACTATAAATTGATCTTATTGGTTAAATCAAGAGCAGGTTATAGGCCCAAAATTACAGAATTTGCCATGACCTGTTGATAATCTGAAAGTAAAACTTAGGGATGTTTTCAATTGCAAGCAAAAACTATGCTAAATAATTTACAAAATCCATGCAAGTGTAACTGTTTGTTTTCTGGATTCATAACAAGGGAACTAAATTGCAGCTGTGCAACATGAGGGACTTGCTTTGGACTACTTACATGCATGCTTCTCGCAAAGCAAGCCAAGGGGGAGAAAAGAGACCAACCCAGATCAAACCTGAGGTGGGTGGTGATTCCAGAGATCTATGGAGTGGATTTTCAAAAAGCAACCCAGCAAACTCCTCCTGGCTTGATGTGAGCAGAAGCAATTATCTAGTGGGTTTTGGGTAGCCTCAACTTCCTTCTCCTCTCTCTCCTGAACTAGGTGGGCCAGCCTCTGTGTGCCTCAAGCCATGTGAAGTTTACTGGATTCCTCTTTGAGAATTTATTCCTTCATCCTCCTTCAACCAGCAGCAGTCTCCTTGGGGATCCCTGAAAAACCATTCAGCACAATCACTCCAGGTTGGGCTGCTAGTGGACTCTGAGGGAAGAGATTGTTGAAAAGCAACTCAGCAAACCCCTTCCAGTTTGTTACATGAAAAGGTGGTCACTAGGGAAGCCTCGGCGGCCTCTTTCCTTCTCCCTCAAGCTGGGCAGAATGGTCTCTGTGCAGCTCGAACTGGGAGGACTTTGCTGGATGGCTTTTCAACAATCCAATGCCTTGATTCCCTTGTTCAGGCTCCCCAGAGGTCTCTTTAAAAACATTTAGAGCTATTGTTGTTAACGTAACTTCTATAGAAACTAGCACTGTCCCATGGAGGTTTTTTCGTGTCAGGAGCAGCTTGAGAAACTGCAAGTTGCTTCTGGTGGGAGAGAATTGGCTATCTTCAAGGACGTTGCTCGGGGGATGCCCGGATGTTTTACCATCCTGTGGGAGGCTTCTTTCATGTCCCTTCATGGGAAGCTGGAGCTGAGAGACGGGAGCACAGCCCACTCTCAGGATTTGAACCACTGACCTTTCGGTCAGAAGTCCTGCTAGCATAAGGGTTTAACCCATTGGATAGGATAATATAAGTTTTAGGGGAATGTTTTTACCTAAATGTCGCAATTTATAGTTGAGTATATACAGTATTTTTATCAAGTAGTCCTAGCACAAATATTTAAGGCTAATGTTTCACTGTAATGTACTTCTAAGATGGACAATAAAAAAGATAATGTATGAAGTAACTTGATTGCTGATTTCCATATCCATTATTTTACATATTGAAATGTAGAACCTAAGATTTGGAAGTGCAATCGCAAACTGATGTCCTAAGAATACTTTCTGTATGTTTTTAAATACCTATATGAAGATACATTAGTTATAAGAGATTTGGATACAAACAATCAGAGACCCCTTAGAGCTTTATAGCAAGGGATCATTACAGGAGGGGAATGTGTATGCATCAAATATCTGGATCTTTAATATATTTTTCTAACCCTCATCTGCTATATTCCTGCTGCTTCATATGAATGAGGTACATATCTGCCCACTCTTGACATAAAAGATGCAAGGAGCCCCCTTCTAGCAGTAACAGATTCCCCTTATCTGTCAGATAAGCACGTATTACAGCCAATGCCATCATTAATTGCCTTAAATGCACAAAGTATGAAATGTACACCTGTCATTTTAAACAGCTATGCACATGTGACTCAGTACATATTTAGAAGACAGTTATGAAGTTTAAGATTAATCCTAAATTATTAAATAAATCTATAGGAATAAGAACTAGATTTGTCTATCAATTGCATAACTGGCAACTCCATATAGAACCAGTGTCTACAACATGGTCAGTAAACACTTAATACAAGTATACTGGCAACCACCCTGATTTCAGATACTATGCATATTATTAAGTCATACTATAAAATGCTAAGTTTAAAGACTATTTCGTACATATTCAATAATATATTTACAGGTGATGCATTATTTGAAGACATGCTCCAATGAATTCAATGACATTTATTGTTAAGTAAATGAATGCTGAATTATAACCTTGTAGTTTAAATTTTATGGCTGAGATACTTTTTCCTTTTCTTTTTAAAAAGACATTTGGTTTGGTTTATTACAAGTAGAGTGCTGGTGTGTGGAGAATTCTCCAAAGAGGATTGAAAGTATTGACAGATCAGCTATGATATTTGGAAATGTTTTAAAAGCCACTTTTGTCATTTGATGCCTTAGATGGCTTTTGTGACAAGGAGCTTCTTTCATCAGGTTTAAGATATTACAGGTAATGCTGCCAAGGTCAATCAGGCTACAATTTATGTTCCAGTAGTTTCAGGACAGGCTAATATAACTATTGCCAAAGAGTGCTCAAAAACTGGCTGGATCAAAATACAGATGTTAAGTGATTAAATGGAACCTACCACTGGGAATAAGTTGCAAATACTTAAATTTCTATTTTTAAGTATTCTATGTATTTTCAAGTACAATTCAAAGTATTAACTCTCAACATTATAGTCTTGAGCAGCTATTCACCAAAGTACCTGAAAGAATGCTTGCCCATATATCATGGTATCCATACACTTCTCTTCATCTTTGAAACCTTTTTTCAGGACCCTCTCAGTGAACAAACATGGTTTCAGAAATTTACCTGACATGTGCATTGTATTTTATTGTCATACAAAACTATGTCTTATACTGTAAGATTTTCAATGCTTGATTTGCTTTCAGCTGCTCATTAATATTTTTGTGATTCTGAATATGTATTTTTATTCTATTTTGAATATAAATTGAAAATAGAAATATGGCTGAAGAGAAAAAAACAAAGGTCTAAAATGGGTGATATACCCATAGTGAACAGCTTCCCATTTAATATTTCCATTCTTCCATATTAAATATGAAACTGACAACACAAGGAAAGGGAGCGCATGGCACTTTAGCCAATTATTTTGTTTGATTATTAAGTAGTAAAGGCCGGGCATAAACAGAATTTTGAAAAATGTTTGTAAACTACTACGTAATCAACACTAATGATCCAATTCAGTTCCAGCCATGAAACAATTTATTACTAATGCTGTATCTCAACTCAAGTCTGTAAAACACAGAAGGCAGTAAATAATAACAGTGAACAGTAACTGTAACTTGCCTAAGTTTCTAAATAATAAAAAACGAATAGATCTAGACAAGAATTCTCAAATTTATCAGCAAGTAGGAAGGCAATACCTCGTTTTTGTGTTTCATGCCTATTCTAATTCAAGATGTTTAAATAGCTACCCAATCCACTACCAAATACTCACCATTTGTAGAATTGCACCATATAAACGAAGAAGAACAGTGCGTGGTTCATCTGCAACAGTCTCTATGGTATCAGGTAATGAGCACTGGAACAGCATGTTGCTTAGGCCTCCCCTATGAAGACAAGAGAGATGGGGGATACATTTTATCAGTTTCTTCACAATGATAATATTGCATGCCATGCACTACTGTTTGTCACCAGAGCTTGAAACGTAGGGGATTCTGACTAAAGGAATTCTAATTCTCATTTAAAAATGCCTTTTCCTATCCCTGTTCACCATAAACAGCCCTTCACTTTTCTGCAAGTAACATGGGACACAATTCATGGAATTACCTCATATTATAAAACTAACATCATGATGTTATCTTAAACTGAATTGTCTCCCTGCATTTAGGCTTCTGAATTAACCTAATTCTCAGTTTTGTCTATGACTAAATTTCTTATTTAACTAATATAGTAGGCCATGACACAGGAAGAATACGGTAAGTGTAGTGAACTCTGAAGACCAGGATTTGAATCCCAATGGGTCACCTTGGGCAAGTCCCAGTCTCAGAGAAAGGCAAACCCATTCTGAACTAATCTTACCAAGAAAACACGTCAGGTTTGTGTTAGGGTGGTCACAGGTCAGAAATGACTTAAAGGCAAGCAACATAACACCAGATATTCACATTGATTTTGAAGAATGCACCCTTAATGCACGGTTTGTACTTTACTTTTGTGTCTAATTTTTAGAAGAGAAGAAAGTACACTGCCCTTCCCCCCCCCCATTTTGAGCCCAGTTCTTGGGTTTACAAAGTGTCCTGTGTGTTGATTTTGTTCTTTTCTGTTTTATATTCTACATTTAAGAGACTGAAAAGAATATAACTCAAGAAACTGCTCACCAAACTGGGCACAAAAAGTCCTTCAGCTGTAATTAAGAACAAGCGGCAATTATGGGAAGGTACTGGGACCATTTTTATATAGAAAAGAACTGGAAACAGATATAAAAACTTTTATCATGACAGGTAAGATATTATCCCAGGTTAATGGTAATTTAATTTTACTGCAAAATGTACAATGACAAGTTTTTCTATTCACCTATTTAAATATATAGAGCTTTGTGGGGGAAGATGATTTTCCAGGATATTTTCCTGTTTCCTAGTTTCTGAAATACTTAAAGAGACCAGCTCTCACACAAACGGAAAACCAAATGAGTGCTGTACTCCTTTCAGATTGTTCTATACTCTCTGCTCTCACTCAATTACAACAGGCCAGTAGCAAAGATTAAAAGGTGGGAGTGGCTGGGTTTTTCTTTTTGAGGAAGACAAAACACACTGGCATGAAATCCTCCAACACACCAGTACCTCTTACTTTCTTGTTTTCAGTAAGGCCAAAGTGGGAAAATCCCAGCTACAGTTGTCATGCCCAAGGACAAGTCAAGCAAATTTGTGCCATGCAATTCAGATTACATTTAATTTTCCAACCCAGACTTCTTGCTGGGGGGGGGGGGGGGGAATGCTTCCAGAATGTTTGCTTCCTTCTCCACTTGGACAAAGCAAACACATAATAAGAATTTTGACAGCTACTCATACTATTGTAAAAATAATGGATCAGAGCATGGGTATATGGAGGCCTATGCACCTGATTTATGCAAAAGAAGCAAGATAGCCATCTTTTAAACCATGTTGAATATACAGATAACAATATAAAGACAGATTTGTTTAGTTTGAATTCCCTCCACTGGAGGCAGAAAAGCCACAGTTTAATAAAGCAAGCTCAAGGAATGTACTGATACGTGTACAGTACATCAGGGTGCACAAGAATTACTCTTTACCAGAGCATTGCCAGCACACCAAGGTTGAAACAGCATGCTTCATGCAAACATAGTGCTTCTTAATCTGTCTGATGTAGTGAACTGACAGGGTTTTCTTATTCCTATTACTTCTATATTTGCTCCCATTGGCTACACCCTTTTCTTTCTTTCCTGGAAATACTCCAGTCAGTGGCTTAAGGATTGGCACCAGTACAGGAGGCACAATTTTGAGCAACATTAAGTTAGAGAATAGGAGGTTTCAGGGTTCTCAAGATGTTATGGATTACAATTTCCATCAGCCACAGCTACTATGATCAATTGTTATGACTGATTAAAGGCTATTTGAATGCTTCTAGAGGGCTCTGGCTATTCTATTCTTGACTTAAGCAATCTACTACTGATGACCATTTAGAAATACAATCCAAAATGGCATAAACAGATGAAATTCCATGACTTCAATGATAATAATGTCAAGATATATACGAGGGAAATCTGTTTTCAATCTGGTATCACAAGGCCTCTCAATATGCTATCATGTTCCACTTGTCTTTCATTATTAGATAAACGTCTTAATACCCCACTGCACAAAACAGCAAGGAAGAAGAAACACATGGCTTTAGTCCTCCACCCCCACAAATACAGCTGTAATGCTGCTGAGAGAATCAACCCTGAGCAGCAGTGTTGGAAAAATGCTGTTTGTGGCCACAGAAACAAACCCAGTTTGTAAGGGCATTGAGGTACAGGCAGAAATATCCATAATTGTTGGGAAAGATAGATCAAAAAAGGAAGATGTAGCTAGGGCACTAGAGCAGGACGGAATTGGAGATCCTTTCTTCCTAGAGTGGTAGTATGATTAACAGCAAGCTCTACCAATCAGGTAGACAGGTGGGAGCAGCCTTAGCCAACATGAAGAATTACAACCATACACTGCTGGTAAACACTCTATTTTAAACAAACTTTAAATACTGTATTGATATGGAGGCTGTAATCCGAATCGTATTTTGAGAAAATATGCTCTATTCACTTCAGTAGTATTTACATCAGTACAGTTCTTCCAAACATTCTAAAAACATTAGAATTCCAGTCACTCAAATCTTAGCTACCTATGATTTTTGAGGAAAAAAAGAACCCTGAGCTCAGTTACTATTGAAGCACCAAATTTGTTTGCCATTTAAACCAAAAGAAAGGAAGAAATTAGCATTAGCCATTAATTCTCCTTGATGCAGTGAATAGGAACTGCCTTGACAATCCAGTTAAACTTGTTTCTGAGATTCATTCTGCTTAACTTAAGCGACCATTTTGTAAAGAAAATATACAATCTCACAATAAGCTGTTCAGAAGACAGCAAAAACCAAAAAACTTTCCACTCCTGATTTACCAATATTGTATGTCAGTTATCTACTCTTTACTGGCTTTGTGAGTAAGAGCAAGACACCTGATACTACAGGAAATTGTTGCCAAGAAATGACTCATACTGCTGAGCAGTCTCATTAAAAAAAAAATCTCAGGACAGAAGTAACATGCCAAGCTGAGTCAGTTTTCAGCCAAGAATTTAAAAAGGACCATGCAACTTTATGTTCACTCGTGCAGCATTTAGATTTGTACATTCCTGAAACTTGCGTCATATTGATCAGGTGACCAAATTGAAGTGAACAGCATATTTTGAGAATTTAACAATTCACGAAATATACATCTCCTGAGTCTAATACATCAGAACCATTGTTATCTCAAGTTACATCTTCTAGAGATTTTTATACAGGGATTATTTTGTAGATCAATCTCTTGGACAAACTACTGTGCCACCTTATTTTTTCCACATATGGTAAGCTTGAAGTAACAAGCCTTAAGTATCCCCTACATAGGGCAAAACTACTCGTAGATTGGAGTCAGAAAATAGTTTTAAGAAGAAGCTATCTCTAAAGTAGCCAATGAATATATTCTCATGTCAAGTAAAAATGGTGCTTTATTCAATTAAAGACTCTAGCGGTTCAAAAACCAGTTGGACAGTGGGGACCCATAAGAGCAGAAGAGCAAGGACACTTGCACTCTGATGTGAAACTATTATGTTACCAATTTTGTGCTACAGGTTGTTAGGATGTCTAAATCCAGTTATGCCCATTGCTACAGCTCGCAAGGGCCTCCACACGCGTGAGATCTGAAAGGATGCTGCGGGAATAACAAATTCCAACTTCAGGAAAAGATATTCTGTATAAACATTAGGAAGAACTTCATGATGGTAAGACCTGTTCAGCAATGGAAATTGCTGCTTCAGTGTGGTGGAGTCTCTTTCTCTAGAGGTTTTAAAGCAGAGACTGGTTGGCCATCTGTTGGGAGTGCTTTGATTGGGTGTTCCTACATGGCAGCAAGGGATTGGATGGCCTTTGCAGTTTCTCCCAACTCTGTGATTTTATGAGACATTGATAGAAACAAAAGGGTGATGGATGTGGGTCCATTTCAGGTACAAGGTCCACTCTGCAACCTGGGACTTTTCCAGCTGAAGATATAGGCCCCCAAAACACCCCATTGGTGGTCTCCCAAATCAGGACAATTCAGTGATTCTAGGAAGCCAATTCTAGCATTCCTGAAAATGTTCAAGATCAGGCAAAGGCGGTTATAACAAAAAATGATTCAGCAGAGGATGCCTATCCATTGAGAGCAGGCATGGGCAAACTTTTTAACTTGGGGGGTCAAATGGCAGGTCAGAGCAGGATGGGTGGACCAGGAGAGATGAAGTTCTCCTCAAGCCTTCTTTCCTCCCTTCCTCTTCTCTTTTGGAGGCAGAAAGTCAAAGAAAGATGGGAAATGCTTGGATCCCAAAAGGGTTGGCCTTGGTCAGGATGAGATGGTAGACAGGAGAGAAAAAGTGTATCTGTTAGACACCCCCGCCCCCCCGCCCCCCAATTGCCTACTCCTGATCTAGAATTCTAGAGCCATCCAGTCCAACATCCTGCCTTGCAAGAAGGCACAATCAAAGCACTTCTGATAGACAGCCCCTGTGGAAAAGCCTCTAAAGAAGGAGACTCCACCACTCTCCCAGGCAGCCTATGCCACTCTCCAGGAAGTTCTTCCTAATCTTTTCAGTCCAATCTCTTTCCCTGCCATTTGAAACCATTGTTTCCTTCTGCCCGGGTCTCTAGAGCAGCAGAAAGTCAGTTCCCCGCCCCCACAACTGAACATGGTTATCTACCTTCTTTTCTCTCAGCTAAACATCCCCCAGGAGGAAGGAAAAAGAGAAGGGAGGAAGAGAAGGATGGAAGGGAATGGAGGGAGGGAGGAAAGGGGAGGAAGGAAGGTAGGTAGGAAGGAGAAAAAGAGAAAAGGAAGGAGGGAGAAAAGAGGGATGGAAGGAGGAAAGGGTGAAAGGGAAGGAAGGAGGAAGGGAGAAAGAGGGAGGTGAGGGGGAGAGAAGGAGGAAGGAAAGAAGGATACCATGGTGACAGAGAGGAGGGCCCGAGAAAAGAGCACATGGGGCCTCATTCCCTCCAATTTGTCCATACCTGGCGTACAGTTTCATAACACCAGAACATGGATCCACTTTAAATCCAGTTTCTGCCTCCTACCGAATTCTGGGGTTTGAAGTTTAGTGAGCCTCAGGACCTGCCTGGCCCTAAACTACAAGCCCCAAGAATCTACAGGAGGCAGAAACTGGTTTTTAAGTGGCTCCATGCTCTAGTGTGATGAGGTCTTTAGAGGGACTTCCACACATAAAGTCAAGGAGGAGAAACATGTCCAGAAACATCACATCCTCAAAGGAAGGGAAATGTCCGACCCCTCCCACCCCGGAGAGATATTCCATTAATACAGTGGTTCTCAACCTGTGGGTCCCCAGGTGTTTTGGCCTACAACTCCCTGGAATCCCAGCCAGTTTACCAGCTATTAGGATTTCTGGGAGCTGAAGGGCAAAACATCTGGGGATCCACAGGTTGAGAACCACTGCCATAATGAATGAAACGGCCCTTTGTGCAACACCAGCAACCTTTCATTGTGTGAAAGGGCGCCGTGAGGGCGTTGCAGAGAAGCCCTTCTGAGCCCTGCGGCATTCGAGGGGCGTCTGAAGAGAAAGTCACAGAATCACGGTGCTGAAAGGGATCTCAAAGGCCATCCAGTCCAACCCCGTTCTCCCCCCCCCCGCCCGCCCCTCCTGCTCTACCCGAAGGCGCGCTCTGCACATGCTCGGGGGTGGGGGGAGAGTGCTGACCTGATGGGCGTGATGCGGATCTGGTCCTCGCGCAACCCCCGCCACGCCCCCCTCAGGAACTCCTTGCACCAGAGGTAGGCCTTGCGCCGGGTGCGGGGCTCGGGCTGCTGCTGCTCTTCGGCCCCCGCCGGCGGGGAGGGCGGCGCCGGAGGCGGCAAAGAGACCACCGGCAAGGCCAGGGGAGGCTGCTTGGTCTCGGCCTCGGCGTGAGAGGAAGGCGGCGGCAAGGGAGGCGAGGGAGACTGAGGCAGGGCGGGCAGGACCGGGCCCGGAGCCCCGCACCCCAAGAGCAGCCCCAGCGGGGAAGAGTCGGCCTCGCCACCGTTACAGAATTTGGTCTTCATGGCGAGAGAAAGGGGGGGAGAGCGGTGAGGAGAAACAACGGTCTCGTCGCGAGCACGTCTCTAGAGCCTCTTCGTGCCTGGAATCCCCGCAGAGCGTCTGCCGCGCGCGCCGGCCGCGAGGTTCTTATAGCCTCCCGGCACGCGGGCACCGCCCCCCTTTCCTCCTCGCGCCGCTGCTGATGCTGCGCACACGCTCACCTCGCGCTCACTAGCCCCCTTCCCCCTCCCCCTCTTCTTCTCCCGCTCCCCTTCGTCTCTGTTGATTGGCTGCGGCCCGAGGCACTCGTAAGGTGGCAGTGGTGTCCGCGCCGCTCCCTGTCGCTGATTGGTCCACACGGAAGAAGCGGCGCTGAGACGCCATTGGCTGCTTCCACCCCGTTGCTCTGGTGATCGGTGCGGCTCGGCGGCTCCGCCCCGCCTCCCAGCCAGGATGCCTCTTGATGCTGCTGCTGCTGAGGGAACACAGAGCGAGCGAGGGAGGGAGGGAGGGAGGGATGGGCTCCCCGCGCTGGGCTCTGGCTCTAGCTGCTGCCCGGCCTTCCCTCAGCACACAGCGGCCTCCTCTCCCCTTAAACGCATCCCCGCTTTAACAGCTCATAGTAGGCACGGTGAATGTGTCAAGGCTAAGCATATACAGTGACAGTGGAGGATAGATAGAGTCAGAGTTGGAAGAGACCATCCAGTCCAACCCCCCTGCCATGCAGGAAAGCACAAACAAAGCACCCCGGACAGATGGCCATCCAGCCCTTGTTTAAAAGCCTCAAAGGAAGGAACCTCCACCACATTCTGGAGCAGAGTTCCACTGTTGAACAGCTCCTACAGTCAGGAAGTTCTTTCTAATGTTCTCCTTTTTTGTAGTTTGAAGCCATTGTTCCGCATCTTAGGCCCCTTCCACACAGCTGAATAAAATTCCACATTGTGCTTTGAACTGGAACATAGTGTGGACTCAGATAACTCACTTCAAAGCAGATATTGTGGGATTTTCTGCCTTGATACTCGGAGTTATATGGCTAGTGTCCAGGGCAGCAGAAAGCAAACCTGCTCCCTCTTCCTTATGACACCCTTTCACATATTTATACATAGCTATCATGTCTCCTCTCAATCTTCTCTTCTGCAAGCTAAACATGCCCAGATCGTTAAGCCACTCCTCATAGGGCTTGTTCTCCAGACCCTTGATCATTTTAGTTGTCCTCCTCTGGCCACCTTCCAGCTTGTCAATATCTCTTTTGAACTGTGGTGCTCAGAATGGGACTGTATTCCAGGTGAAGTCTTACCAAAGCAGAATACAAAGGCACCAAGACTTCCCTCGATCTAGACACTATACTCCTTTTGATGCAGCACAGGTAAAGGCAAAGGTGTCTGCCTCAGGGTGGTGGTGCTCATCTCTATTTCTAAGCCAAAGAGCCGGCATTGTCCGTACACAGCTCCAAGTTTATGTGGCCAGCATGACTGCATGCAGTGCTGTTACCTTCCCACCGAAGCAGTACCTATTGAGCTACTAACATTTGCATGTTTTTGAACTGCTAGGTTGGCAGAAGCTGGGACTAACAGCAGGAGCTCACCTTGCTCCCTGGATTTGAACCATCAACCTTTCAGACAGCAAGGTCAGCAGCTCAGCGGTTTAACCCACTGTGCAACTAGGGGGCCTGATGCAGCATATAGATGACAATTATATGTTCCAATTGGGTGTATCTCTGCCATAGAATGAATGCAGTTCAACCCCCCTTTTTAACTGCCATGGCTCAATGCTACAGGATCATGGGAGTTGTAATAATTTTACTAGGTCTTAAGCCTTCTCTGCCAGAGAGTGCTGGTACTTCACCAAACTACAGCTCATGTGATTCCACAGAATGGAGCTATGGGAGCTTAAAATGGTGTCAAACTGCATTCATTCTACAGTGAAGATGCAGTCACGGCCATCCCTGCTGCCTAGCCATGCCCAGACCTGCAAACCTCCCTTTCAGATTCTCTTGTGATTTCAAAACAGTTGCAGTTAGACTGATTTCACTGTTGACTGCCACATGGGAGTTGTAGCTTCACAAGGTATTTCGCCTTCTCTGCCAAAGAGTGCTGGTGACTCACCAGAACTACAACTCCCTGGATTTAGGAGTGGGATCAAACGGCAATCAAGATGCACCCCACAATTATATTATTATTGTAACCTTGTTAAGAGTATATGCATTGGGGAGCACATTGCCCCTCACCACAATTATAAACTGCTAATTGTGTGTGTGTGTGTGTGTGTTACTATGTACACATTTTGTACATCTCGCCGCTTTGAATCCCACCCATGGGAGAAAAGCGAGATAATAATAAATAAATAATAATCTGGTATTTGTTAAGATTTTGTGTGTGTCTGTGTATATATATCTATCTACATATATGTAGCTTATGTATGTATGTACATATTTTGTATGTTAATCTTGCATATGTATGCATAAATACACACGTTAATTGTGTGTATATACATGTGTACATTTGTATGTGTTAAGTGTGTGGCTATATATATATATATGTATGTACACATTGTGTATGGCTTTGTGTGTGTGTGTGTGTATCTACATATAGGCACACATTTTGTATGTTAAGCTTGTGTGTGTATATGTGTGTGTGTGTATATATAAGCACATTTTGTACAATAGGTTTGTGTGTGTATATAATATGTAGAGGGAGATATATATATATATATATATATATATATATATATAGTAAACGACACCTTTTGCAGGGAATAGCCAGTGCCTGTCTGCCCCTCCCGCTCTTCCCTTTCCCCTTTCCCTTCCTTCCCTTTCTTTGCCATTTCCCCTTCTTCCCTTCCCCTCTCTTCCTTTCCCTTCCCTTTCTTCCTTTCCCCTTTCTTCGCTTTCCCATTCTTCTCTTTCATTTCCCTTTCTTCACTCCACTTTCCCTTTCTTCTATTTCCCATTCTTCCCTTTCTTCCTTTCTCTTTCCTCCTTCCCCTCCCCCTTCCTTTCCCCATTTTTCCCTTCCCTTTCTTCCTCCCCCTTTCCTTTCCCATCCCTCCCTTGCGCTTCCTTCCCCTTTCTTCCATTTCCTTCCCTTCCCCTTCCTTTTCCTTCTCATCCCTTTCCCTTCTCTTCCCTTCTTTCCTATTGCAGCCTCCATTTTCTTTTCTCGGTCTTTTTCAACCACCCAGCCACCCTCCTCCCTCGTGTCTCCTTGGCACGTGGGCTTGCAATCGGGAAAGGTTTGTGCCCTCCTCCAAAACCTCCCGACACCCGAGGAAAAAAAAAAGGAAAAGGAGGGGAAGCGACTGTGGAAATAACAGTCCAGATTAAATGGGCTGCAAGGCTGCCGGGTGGCGAGTTCGGGGGAAGGTCACGAGGAGGGCGACTGCGGTGGCTGCCTTCGAGATCTCACGGGCGAATTCATTGGTCCCACGCGAGGAACCGGCGCGTGGGTGCCTCCGCTCGAGGCCCGCCCCCAGAGCAGAGCTCTTCTCCACACTTCCCACGCTGGTGCCATGCTTTCTAGGCGTGCAGCCTCTCGCGACCATCCAGAGCTGAAGGGGGTTGGACTTGATGTCCTTTGGGGGTCTGCTCCCACTCCAGTGAAGTATAGGCTGCCTGGGAGTCCAGTGGAGTCTCCTTTTCTGAAGGTGGTTGAGTCTCCTTTTCTGAATGGCGGCCTGTTGGGAGGGCTTTGACTGTGTCCCTTCCTGCCTGGATGAAGGGGATTGACCTTTGGGGGTCTGTTCTAATGCTGTGCTTCCCCTCCCTACGTGGGCCCCTACCCTGAGCTCCTACCCCCCCCCCCCAATCCTCCACGTTTCCGTCTTCCTCCTCCTCCTCTTCCCGTTTGGGCTGCTGCCATTGGGGGCAAGGTGGAGAACCAAGGACAATAAGGTCTTATTGTTACTCTTGCTGTTGCTCTTGCTGTCTCCTCCTCCTCCTTGGGCAGCTAACACACTCCCAGCCTTTGTTTGGGGAGGGGGAAAGCATTTTTTATGAACTACAGGTGACATACTCCTTCAGAAAGCTGTGTCCTAGAGGCAAGGGACTTTGTCACACACTACACACTAGAGCAGTGTTTCTCAACCTTCCTAATGCTGTGATCCTTTAATACAGTTGGAATCATAGTATCAAAGAGTTGGAAGAGACCTCATGGGCCATCCAGTCCAACCCCCTGCCAAGAAGCAGGAATATTGCATTCAAATCACCCCTGACAGATGGCCATCCAGCCTCTGTTTAAAAGCTTCCAAAGAAGGAGCCTCCACCACACTCCGGGGCAGAGTGTGCCACTGCTGAACGGCTCTCACAGTCAGGAAGTTCTTCCTCGTGTTCAGATGGAATCTCCTGTCTTGTAGTTTGAAGCCATTGTTTCGCGTCCTAGTCTCCAGGAAAGCAGAAGACAAGCTTGCTCCCTCCTTGGCACGTGGGCTCCTTCATGTTGTGGTGACCAAACATAACATTATTTTCGTTGCTACTTCATTACTGTAATTTTGCTACTGTTATGAATCGTAATGTAAGTATCTCATATGCAGGATGTATTTTCATTCACTCGACCAAATTTGGTACAGATACCCAATACATCCATATTTGAATACTGGGGAGGTTGGGAGGGGGGGTTGAATTTGTCATTTGGGAGTTGTAGTTGCTGGGATTTATAGTTCACATACAATCAAAGAGCATTCTGAACTCCATCAATGATGGAATTGAACCAAACTTGGCAACACAGAACTCCCATGACCAGAAAATACTGGAAGGGTTTGATGGGTACTGACCTTTAGTTTTAGATTTGTAATACAGCTACATCCAGAGAGTAATGTGGACTCAAACAATGATAGATCTGGACCAAACTTGGCATGAATACTCAATATGCCCAAATGTGAACACTGGTGGAATTTGGGGAAAATAGACATTAACATTTGGGAGTTGTAGTTGCTGGGATTTACAGTTCACCTACAATCAAAGAGCATTCTGAACCACACCAACTATAGAATTGGGCCGAACTTCCCACACAGCGCCCCCATGCCTTGAACGGACTCGCTAGTGTGAACCTCCCTCCAACGTCGCACACTCTCCCTCACCCACATGTGCACCATGCTGTCATGCGCCAAGTACGCCTGCTCTCCCCTCCCCTGCTTGGAGTCTCAGAAATAGTCCTTTCCTTGGCTGAGAGGCTAGCG